GGCATCAGACCTTCAGTCAGTCACTCACGCACAGTCACGCCCTCCAGCCAACCCTTCTTCCCGCCCAGTCAGTCAGCTCGACACTCCTCCAATCTTTCCAGTCGCTCCGACATTCCCCCGATCTTTGTCCAGTCGTTCCGACATTCCCCTCTCCTCCTCCGCCGCCCAGTCAGTCTGACAGAACTGGCAACTCGGTCCGGCCACTCTGACCAGACATTCCCACAGCGCCCCGTCCAGCCCACAGTTGTGGCGGTGCTCCGTGGGAACTGCCCGCACTCAGGGCCAACAGGTCATCATTTTTTTTTGGGGGGGGGGGGGGGCTCACTGGTTGGCTCACCACTGTGAAATGGTCGTACTGAGGCGGATTGACGCCGATTCCAGTGTAGCACGCACCTTTGGAGGGAACAAGTGAGCGGAGAGCGAACTAATGTTTATCCTACAATGTTGGTAATCAGGTAACTTTAGGGTCACTTATGACGTGACCATAAATCACGGCTGGTGCGAGCCTGGATGGTCCATAATGACGTGATGTGGCTCTGTGACCAGGCATTGGGATGCCATCAGCTGTGCTGTCAGAAACTATTCATGCTCTATTCAACCAGCGCTTTTTCTTCTTGCTCTCTAGATTGCGATAGTCAATTGACGATGATTATTTACTCAGACTGGCTGCAAAATGAGTGATTCAATTGCTTACCTATTAGGGTGAAGATTATACATATTTTATAGATGAAGACTTGAACGCAAAGGTAGAAAAAAGAATAAAGTCAGTGATAAGAAGCCAAAGGAAAACGTCAGTTACAAGTGGGAAGAAACGGGCAAAAGGGCAAAATGTCTAAAAAATGATCGCCAACTGACTTTGTCTACCTATTGTACAGCGGCCACAAAGGACAAACACCCAAGCCAGCTAGGACGGTCACTATGCTGGAGGCTCAGATAATAAGTGATAAACCTAAAACCATGTGTGGAGGCATGACTCACGATTGTTCGTGCAGCCTCGAAGCTGCAGCTCAGTGCTCTTTGGTTGCCGTCAGATATTGTCGTATTGTCGGATGGGTCGCCTAAGCTGACCGGCTATATCAGGTGCATGCTTAACCCGAGGATGAACTACGCTGACCTACCGATCTGGACCAGGTGACCCCCTGGGACCACCGGTTCACCGGTCCGGACCAGGTGACACCCTGAGACCACTGGTTCATTGGTCCGGACCAGGTAACACGCTGGGACCACTGGTCCATCGGTCAGACCAGGTGACACCTTGGGACCACTGGTCCATTGGTCCGGACCAGGCGACACCCTGGGACCACTGACTGGTCCGAGCTGTGGTACGGTCCGCCGCGGTCCGGAAATACCGGGCGGACCGCGGTACCGGCGGCGGCATGCGGACGGCGCTGTGCACACCGGTCGGGCCAGTAGTGACCTGCGTGCACAACACCTGTGCACCGTGCACCGCTCCCGGCCGACATACGCGGAAATCGTGACCGGTAATTGTGTTATGCAGGCGCGGGAAGACCTGCTTTTGGGAATGAGCCGGGTCAGCCGCTCCTGACTCTTGGCAATAGATACGGGGTTCGACAGAATTTCAGAGGCCAGTTTTACCAACAGAAAAATAGCCACCTGCCGGAATGTTTTGCCCTCGCCCGCTGGGGGGACAATTTGAACCCCCTGTGGTTTTTCCTGAATAGCAAGAAAACGACGGCGCGCAGCGCCGCCAAATTTTCGGTACCTTATCCGGGCATTAATTTGACACCTTTACACAAAATTTCAAGTCTTAGGTCACCTTAGGTCAAGAGGTATTGAGGTCAAACTGAGGTCATGTTCGAGCATAAATGAGCAAAAAAAAACACGAAATCTTGAAACGCTCACAAAAGCTACAGTTGCTAAGCAATTTCAAAGTTCTTTACATGTGTATGTAGAGAAAAGACGGCGCTACAAAACTTTTACCTAAGATTTTTATTTCTTTATTTTGACCCCCAAAAATTAAAGTTATTTTTTAGAAAAACGCAAAAAAAAATCCCACAAGTTTTTAGAATTTAGAAAAACGGAATATATGTCATAGTCCCTGCGCTCTTCTATCTACATACCAATTTTTAGATCGATACCTCTTTTTTGGCCAAGTTAGGTATAGCGAAAAACTGTTCAAAATTGATGACGTCGAATTTTTTAACTCAATCTTTTTTTGCAACTCTAGAGCACGTAGCGCAAAACAAAGACCACCATTGAACTCCCCGTAACGAGCTGCATCGAATCGATACCCATTTTATGCAAAAATATCAACTTTTAAATTTTACCTAATTTTACCTGACCTTGACCTGACCTTGACCTGACCTTGACCTGACCTTGACCTGACCTTGACCTGACCTTGACCTGACCTTCACCAGAACATAATCTTAACCGACCCCAAATGCTGCTGACCCACATAATCGCATATGGCATATAAAATGGACCATAAAACATGCACTGCATGATATTTTCATATTGTGACCCTCAGTGACCTGACCTCTGTGACCTGACCTGGTATCATTGACCTCAAATAGCAAAATATGTGTTTGAAGAACAATAACCCATCGATAGTTTTCAATTAGATGCATTTTACTCGATTTCACAACGCATTTCTTGAAATGCTTGTAAACGGTGAAATTCCGACATTTGACCTGACCTGCGACGTCATCGGTTTGACCTAGGTCAATGAAATTGGGTCAAAAGGTAGTTCCCCGTTGGGGCTATCTAATACCGTTTGCTGCTTGTCGCTATGTTGCGTGGTTCTCGAGATCTTAGGGGGGGGCAAATTGCCCCTTCCCCTCCCAACAGGGCGCGTTGCTCGGCAGACCCCAACGGGGCGCGGGTTAAAGGGACTATCCCACCTTCTAAAATGTTGTTAAAACCAGTTAAATTGTGCCCGACTTTATAGATTGGATGACCAGGAACACGGTTCTGGCATTTATTTTTCATTAAACATCTTAGGCTTCCCATATTCCAAACACAAACTTTCAAATATGTGACGTCACAGCCCAAAATTACCTCCTTCCCCAGGCCACATTACTGTCATAAAGCTTATTCTTTTTACTCTGTAGGCACCACAACAAAGGTCAGACCAAGTTTTAAGCGATTTTTCAACGAACAAACCCATTTAAATCAGAATGACTAAACGAGGTGACGTCACACTAACGGTCGCTCCATGTTGAAGATAGGGCCTTGTACAAGGCCCATTTTCAAATGAAGGGAACGAATTTTTTCAACACCAAGAGGCCGCGGGGGTTGCAACCTAGATAGATAGTGGTTTCTGAACCTCGCCGCAAACTTGGCTATCTCAACTCAAATCCCATGTTAAAGGTGGGATAGTCCCTTTAAGACCGCCTCACATACGAAGCGTAAACGCGATGGACACGTAAGCAGACAGGGCTTTGCCCTATCTGCTTTGCATGTGATACAGTCTGTCGGCAAACAATTCCGGTAGGCGGCTATTAATGTTGGTAAAACTGGCCTCTGATGTGTACCTATTTCAAAGCCCTTGAACAATCTCACACTATCGTTAGTAAGGTGGTTTTAGCTTTGAGTGCATTTTTAAACAAGCAAGTGAATAGGTGCTTGTGTTCGCAATGAGGCATTGTGGCAGTGACATCGAAGAGCACAGACGACTGGAATGGGGGCTGAAAGTATTTAATTCCTTCTTTTAAAAGGGAAACACATGCCACCCTTATCCCGGATTGATTTCCTTGACCATATGTGTGAGACTACGCTCTAAACAATATAGAGCCAGCGACTGTATGGAATAAGTTTGCGTAAGAATTATGTTGGGCGTTTCTAAAAATGGTGACCTTACCTTTTACCAATAAATACGGCGTGACTCGTTACCCCCGAGCCTTAGGTGAGCGCCGAGCAGAGCTGCTGCCGCCGGTGCGGCCACTTTCTGTCGCTCTACCAGGGCTGACCGGCCGGCGATCAGTGGCCCGTCATCACCGCCATCGCTGCTGTCAGCGGTCCCCGGCCACGGGTGGCCATTAGTTCATCATTAGTCAACCACCTGGCGTATTATCAGAGACCATCAGAGCAGCTGGCCCCCCGGCCGGACCCTGGCCTCGCGCGATGGGAGAGACGGCACCTTAACCCTGACCGGCGGCACGCAGAAACCTCTGTCCAAAATAAACACTTGAGAGTAGTTGGGACACATTGGTTGTGTTGAACTATACAACCATTTTGAGTTCTCCCGGTTATCTGGATTTTTTTCGGTAGATAGCGATCGTCAGGACCGCGCAACAATTACGCTAAGGGTTTGGTATCGTCAATCAATCCATTCAAAGCAATCGAGTTTCTAAAGTTTCTAAAAGCGTCTCATTTCAGTGTTTTGAACTAGCCATAAGTCTACCGCTATTCCTTGTAGTTGGTCACTTTAACAGTTGAGTGCCTGATGTTTACCTTTTCGACTCAATCGAGCCCTTTTCCATGCCACCAGCCGCTATGCCTTACTGCTGGCTTTAATTATTGCCAGCCAGCGATAGTCGCGGATCGATATGCTATCCTAAGTCCATCTGAAGTTCTAGGCACCGTCTGCAGTGAATCTGGCTGCCCCTCTCACCTCTCGAGTCACCAAGCCCCGACCTCCCGGTGTAGATTCTCGGACGGTGACGTGGCGCAGCTCGGCCCGTCGGCCGGCCATTCAGAGTCGAACGAGCAGCTCTGACCGGCTCCAGTCCCCTCAGCGGCTTAGAGCGGCTCTGCCCACCGGCTCGCCGCTCTGCTCTAGCTGCAGTGGCGGAGGCGGCCAAGTAGAGATGCAACTTTGTACAGCTCGTGGCAGCAATGGCTAAAAGGCACCACAGGGGACAAGGAACAAAGAGGAAGGTGCCTGCATGTGCTCGCCTATTTAGCACCTGCGCTGTGTATTGTGTAAGTGATGCATCATGCAACTTCTCTAACCTAGTCCAGCCTCAACTTAAGTGTTACCCGATAATTTGTCGGTACCACTTTGTCGCTTACGCTGCCTCCCCGCTGTGTTGTTTCAGCCGGACGACTGGGACACCCGGAAGATCAATACGTTCTCGACATTCCACGGCAGCTCCAACTCGCACCTGGCCGGCCTGGCGGTGGGACGCGGGCGGCACGCCCACTCGCGGTCCCTGGTGCTCGACACGCCGCTGCCGGCCCCGGCGCGGCCCAGTCACGGCCACTCCAGGTCCCTGGTCGTCGACATGCCTGTGCGCATCATCCACGGCCACTCCCGCTCGCTGGTGGAGATCTGCCCGGACACCCCGATCAGCAGCGGCTCCGGCGGCTCCGCGGACTCCGGCGGCGGCTCCGGCGGCTCCGGCGGCGGCTCCACTGAGGGGCGGGCGTCCGAGCGCACCCCGCGCCCGCTCTCCCGCTCCTCCGCCCGGCTGAGCGGAAAGGACGCGCCGCTGCGGCCGCTGTCCCGCTCCTCGGGTAGCGGCATCACCATCAGCTGCGGCGGCGGGGGCGAGGACTCCGCGCCGCCGCCGCCGCCCAGACCTGTGTCCAGCTTGTCTGGGACCCCGCCGCCGCTTCCCAGACCTGTGTCCAGCTCGTCTGGGACCCCGCCGCCGCTTCCCAGACCTGTGTCCAGTTCGTCTGGGACGCCGCCGCCGCTTCCTAGACCCGTGTCCAGTTCGTCTGGGACGCCGCCGCCGCTTCCTAGACCCGTGTCCAGTTCGTCTGGGACGCCGCCGCCGCGTCCCAGGTCGCTGAGCCGCTCCTCGGGAGCGCCGAGTGATGTCACGGACACAGGGAGTGCCACGGGAGGCTCAGAGAGTGCCGCGGGAAGTTCGGAGAGTGCCTCGGGAGGACACGAGAGTGCCGCGGGAGGGCTGGATAGTGCCGCGGGAGGACCGGAGAGTGTCGCGGGAGGAGGCTCGGACAGTGCCGTGGGAGGTTCGGAGAGTGCCAGGGAAGGTTCAGAGAGTGCTGCAGGAGGGTCAAAGAAAGCCGAAGGAGGCTCGGAGGATGTCAGAAGGGTTTCCGGTGCTGGCCTGACCAGTGCGGCTGCTCCGAGGCCCATGTCGCGCACCTCCATCACAATTATCAGCGGCGAGAGCTCTGAGACCGTTCACCAGAACGCTGCTTCTGCTCCTGATGTTGTGAGAAAAAGTGACGCCGGTGACGGTCAGGGTGCCAGTGACTGCGGCTCGGCGAGCGATACCGGCCCGGGCAGCGTCAGTGACGGCGGCACGCCCTCGCTGCGCGCCCTCTCCACAGCCTCCAGCGGAGGGTCACCCAGCCCGGCGCCCCTGTCTCCCCCGCGAGACAAGCCCACGCCGGCCTCGCGCACCCTGCTGGGGGCCGCGCTGTCACCGGCCACGCCAATTTCTGCTACAAACGGCGGCCGACCGCAGTATGTAAGTACCACGGGGTACAACCACTGGGAACGAGCTGCACTCGAGTAGGCATGCTATGCTCGCAAAACTTTGTGGGCTAAGCATGTGAATGTGGAGCATGACTTCAGGCAAAGGTCCAGAGTTGAGAGTTGGATGCAGTGCACGAGTATAACTTCGGCCAGCTCAGGTGGCGGTCAGGGAGATTGCAGAAGTGGGGAATTGCCTATAGGTTGTTAAATCTTATCTCGCAGATCTGCCACCAAACTGCGAGCTGATAATTTATCTTACTTTTATCAGTCATTTCTCTTTTGCGTGTACCGTCTTTTTCGTCATGATGAATGTTTCAATCACGCTGCTCCTGCATTGTCCTGTCATGATTCACTTGTCAGAGGCATATGAAAAATGCATTTGCGTCCTGTCAGCCATCAGAGTTTTACTGCAGGCATGTTAAACACTAGTGCGTGGGAATGCCTGCAGGAATTCTTCCTGGAAGGCCACTGGCAAGTTCTTGTACGAGACACCAAGACAGTCTTTCCCAAGCATTTATATGAGGACTTTGCTCCACAAGAAATCGTTCGGGTCAAAGCTTTCGAATTGTATTTGCAAAACTTCGTCAGCTAGTCAGTCGTAATCGGTTTCGAGGGGTATCGGTCGCAAAATTGAGGGCCCTCAATTTTGCGACCGATGCCCCTCCAAACCCGATTACGACTAGCTGACGAGGTTTTGAAAATACAATTCAAAAGAGCTCCGACCCGAACGATTTCTTGTGGAGCAAAGTCCTCATTCACTTATCACATCAAACTCCACATCTTGTCCTGAAGAACAGTTAAAAACATTTGAACAACAACTCAACATATATTTGTTGATCAATTACCTCGACAAAAAGTCCCTGATTCGCTGCTTCTGCACGGCATGGGTAATTGCATAACCGATGTAAACAAAATTCATTGGGGATATGTGTTCTGCTGCTCGTTCGGCCGCATGTGGCCTTCCGTTCACCGGCGGTTCACCGTTGCGCGAAGCTGCCGCCTGCCAAGTGAAAATGGGTCCCTCACTTTCTCACCGTGCCTGGGACTCTTGTCACCCCTGCAGCGGCGCTGACTCCGGCTGACCTCTGACCTCTGACCTCTGACCCCGGCCGCTGACTTCTGACCTCTGACCAGTGACCCCGGCCGCTGGCCTGTGACCGGAAGCAGTGACCTCCGGCGGAGCGTGGCGCCCCCTCCGCCAGTCCGCCACCGACCGCCCAGCCTGCCCACTCGATATAAAATGGCCCACCCAGCGGTCAGCACTGTCCCTTCCTGCAAAAACTTTCCCATCCACCTCTGTACATACATGCCCGTCAATGTAACCCGTGACTTCCAGCAGGTCTTCAGTAGCTAGTGGCTTTACTCATAGGCGGCGCGACGAGGGGGGCACCGGGGCACCGTGCCCCCCCCCCTTTGATTGTGGCATTCTAACATTAGCCCTATGGAGTTGGACGTTGCATGGAAAGAATGGGACCAAAAGTCGGCAGTGCTCCCCCCCCCCTAATTGAAGGTGTTCCGCCGCCACTGACTTTGCTCCCATAGTCGGAAGTTGGTTTCGGGATGTGTGGCGTTTTATTGGGTATACTTTATTACGAGCGCTTACATCTAACAAGTTAGTAACCCGAGTTTTTTTTTTAAAGAAATATTGCATGCATGATTGTCTGCTTTGATTCCGGGCTCTACCGAATTATGTGAGATTTCTGGAGCTGCATCATTTAGACCCCACACGTGCAATGCGTCAATCGTCTTTTGGCGTGCCGTTTTCCAGGGAATGTCAACGATCTGTTATTAGAAGTCTCAATAATAATTTTACACAGGGGCGAATCTGGGACAGGGGCATTTGGGGCTAAGCCCCCTAACCGAAAGAGTTATCCTTTCGCTGTCCTACGGAACGACGAATGGGAGCGCCACGACACTATCAAATCACGATACCCATAAACACAATCAGAGGACGGGGAGGAGATATAACCCGCGCCCCGTAGGGCTACCGGCGGACCCTACCACCCGTAGGGGGGGGGGGGGGCGTTTCGGCCCCCCCCTAAGATCTCGGAAAGTTACCGGCCGATTTTCAAAATTCAAACGGCGTTCGATAGCCCCACCCGGGAACTACCTTGTGACCAAATTTCATTGACCTAGGTCAAACCGATGACGTCACAGGTCAGGTCAAAGGTCAGATTTTCACCGTTCACAGGCAAATTCAAGAAATGTGCTGTGAAAGCGAGTAAATTGGTAATTTATTGAAAACCATCGATGGTACATTGTTCGTCAAACACATACTTTGCTATCTGAGGTCACTGATACCAGGTCAGGTCACAGCGAGGTCAGGTCACCGGGGGTCACAATATGAATGTGTCGTGTGATACATGTTTTATGGTCCATTTTACATGACAAATGCGATTATGTGGGTTAGGCAGCCTTTGGGGCCAGCCTAGGTCACGTTTTTGTGAAGGTCAGGTCAAGGTCAGGTCAAATTAGGTCAAATTTCAAAGTTGATATTTTTGCATAAAATGGGTATCGATTCGATGCAGCTTGTCACGGGGAGTCTAATGGTGGTCTTCGTTCTGCTCTACGAGTTCTAGAATTGCCAAAAATTGAGTTTGAAAATTTGACGTCATCATTTTTGAACAGTTTTTTCGCTATAACTTGGCCAAAAAACGAGGTATCGATCTGAAATATGGTATGTAGATAGAAGACGGTAGGCACTATCACATATATTCCGGTTTTTTCGAAACTCAAAAAACTTTTTGGATTTTTTGGCGAATATATCCAAAAAAATGCTTTTTTGATTTTTGGGGGTCAAAACTCAAAAATTTCAAAAATTCGAGATAGCAGTTTTGTAGCCCTGTCAATTCTACACCTTTTATGTCTTGATCATTTTTCTGTATCTTCAAAGCTGTAGTCCTGACAGGTCTTCTCGCGAAGGTCTTTTTTCGGTCGAAAATGACAGAACATGACGTCACTCTGACGTCATTTGTGGCCAACCTATCATAGCCTCTGGAAAAAATTTTGGTCACAATGTGTAAAATTGATGCCCGGAGGGGTCCTGAAAGTTTGGTGGCGATATCTCCAGCCGTTTAGGAGATATCGACCGAAAAGGACAGGGGGGGCCGTTTCGGCCCCCCCCCCCTACGGGGCGCGGGATAAGAGGACTTTTACTTCAATTTTCACTATAGACGCCCAACTCGCACATTGTGCCGTCCCATAGGTAGACAAAATTCCGTCCCCATGCCATTTGTCCCTGGCCGAAGAAAATCCTGCATTCGCCCCTGATTTTAGATACTGACCGAGACAGCGTTAATTTATTCTACACTATACAGTCATGCATACTTATACCAATTAAATCGACCTATGTGGACTTTGGATTAGTAGTTCCTACTGATACTGCTGATAAGTACCTAGTCTGCAGCATTGGAATGATGCATTGGGGGCGTGAAACATTTTAGGCTGTTTGAAAGCTATGTACATACACTCGTTGCCAATGTTTCCTTTCCCCAATGTCTTGTTAGCTGTAAATGTATGTCGAGTGTCGGTGTTGTCTGCCCGCGCTCTGACTCTGTCTCCGCCGGTTGCAGAAAATCCGCGACGTGCGTGTGACGATGGGCGCCGACTCGCGACGGTTCGGCTTCTCCGTGATCGGCGGCGCCGACGAGGGCATCCGTCCCAAAATCGACGACGTCGCAGAGGGTAAGTGGACACCCCCGACCGGCCGCCGCGTAACGTGACACTCCTCGCCGCCTGACTCGGGTCGGACACAGACCGTAGGTATTGCATTTCAGTTACAACAGTGGTTTCAGTTACAACCCCCGTGACGGCGCGTAACATCCAGCACATGCACGGGGTACCCTCGATCGTAATTCGAAGCGGCCCACGCCTGCGCCTGGATGTGACATACGACTCCGTCTGATGATTATGAGCTGAATAATGAGCTGAAGGCTGTATGTATAGATACGACTTACGTGTGTGTACTGGGGGGCGGCGACACGTAGCAACGCTCTGACTTCTGCCAGTCTTTCAAAGATGATAATACCATAGGTATGTCATATTCTGGGGGGATACTCGGCAGCGGTGCCTCTTCTGCTTTGCGAACAGAGATTGCAATCACTTACGAACTCCCCTTTCTTACTTACCCATGTGGATAATGGGTCATTGATACGTTTTGTTTGTTTTGTTTGTTTTATTTGTTTTGTTGGGTTAGGCGCTTTCGATTTAACAAGACCAGTTCAGAGCTGGAAGGACGATAGGAATCTGGGGAAGATATTGATCTGGGCGGGCAGTGGAATCTAGGGAAGACATTGGTCTGGGCGGGCAGTGGCACTATGGTGACCCGTCAGGACTGGGAGTGGGCCCATCCAGTGGACAGGCCACCCAGCCCCCTAACGGTCACCGCGCACCCAGCTGCGGGCCTGCTTCTGGGGTGGAGCTATCTAAAGTCGCCCGTCCAGCCCAGAACGAGGGGGTGAGGCGTGGAAGAGAGAAATATTTGACTATCCTAAGTTTGGAAACAACGGAATGGAGCATGGATGCGGTACTGAGACTTGAGAGGGATGGGTCGGCATTGACGTGCGAGGACTGTACCAAAGGTTCCGTACTTTGCCTGCAGGTGGCAGCACTAAGCAACCCTGCAGCTTGTCCTCCACAGGCCCTCTCATGTTGCGCTAAAAAAAAAAAAAAAAACTCCAATTTACGATTTGATGATATACCTATTGGCAGCAAGATGTGCTGTTGTGTGGTTTTACGCATCTTTTGCTCCATGACTCGAGAGCAGGGCGTTTACCGTCTAATGCCTTCATTGGATCTTACTCGTGGTGCTGGACGAATGGTGAATACACCAGCGCCACCTAGGCGGGACCGCGACTCGCCCGGTACCCTAGCGGTGGCAGTGCGTCGCGCCCGGCAGCCGACAGGCGACAGCCCAGCCGCTCCACTCCTCTCTCTTGCATTGCACTCAACAACATTGCTCTCTGCCTATCCCTAACGGTCCTTTATGACTGTCATCACCTAGAGACATCAATCACCGCACAGCGGTACGTTCCAGACAGCTTTCAGTTCCAGACAGCTAGCCGCCGCAGACAGCTCCAGACAGCGCCACACAGACGCAGATTGATGGGGCTATCGACCCGATGGTGGAGCGCTTGTCCTCCGCCTCCCGCTAACAGAGAGCTACCGAGACCAACCGTTTGGCTAGCCGACTGCATATCGACCGACCGACAGATAGTTCTCTGACCGACTAGACGACTGGTCGGCCAGCTGACCGACCGGCCGACCGAAATACCGACAGCTGACCGACCGGTCGACTGACCAGTCAGCTGACATCGGCCGGCTGACCGGCCAGCTGACCGACCGGCCGACCGAAATTCCGACAGCGTGGCGAGCCGGCTGACTGGCTGCAGCTCCGCGACCGACCGACGGTTCGGGGCTAACCAGCTGACTGAACCTATAACTCACTGGCTAGCTGACCAGCAGTTAACTAGTCTTCTGAGTTCTGACTGACAAACTGACGGACCGGCCGACCAGCCTTCTGACTTGACCGACTGACCTACCAGCCGACACTTTGACTAGCCGACCGTTTGGGTACCAATCTTCTAGCCGTCGGTTTGACCATCAGATATTGATTAGTGGAATTACTACTAAGTGAATTACTAAGTGTAATGGCATTAGCTAGATGCAGTTTTTATATGTAGGTACCTAAATGGTGACCTTATTAAATGCTCAAATGCTTGTTCGAGACTTTTACGATTTTGATTTCAAGCAAATGTGCTTTCGATATCATCAGATCATGATGACCTATTAGTTATGTACAGATTACCTCAGCGTGAGCTAAAAAAGAACAGCATAAATGTTTTTGAAGCCGCTATATTTTGCGAACTGCCTACATATCCCTTCTCATGCATCCTTCAAATGAACTGAACGGTAAAGGGCGATCGAGTGGAAGATAATATACGCCGGAATGACATACTAGCAGCTACAAACCATGCCGGAAAATTATGAATGCATGTACCTTCAGTTTTCCTTCCTGCTTGATCCAACATGATAATTAGCACTATGGGATATTGTAAAGTAGCCGTGCAGCTCCTTGTCAGTTTGATGCTGAAGTTCAGGGAACGTCTTTGCTGTCGTTCCTTTGATCAGCCTAATTGTCTCATGAACCAGGCTTTCTGCTGCATTACATACGATAGCTCTCTGACACCGATGTTTATGAAGGAAGCACGGTGTCACTCGGCCCAACTCCATCTAACTGTAATGGTCGGTCTCTGTTGGGGAACGGGGAAGTTGGCGCCGGCGGTGTGTCGAAGTTTCCCTGTCGGTCGGCCTGTCACCGGCGCTCGGGTCACCACTCACTGGCTGTGAGCGGCGCGCCGTTTGTCGTACCCACGGCGCTAGCGGCCGCTGTGGCGCCCGCGGACACGGGGCGCGGTGGCCGGACACAGGACACAGCGGCCGGACACGGGACACAGCGGCCGCTGGACAGACACGGGACACAGCGGCCCGGGCACGGGACACAGCGGCCCGGACACGGGACACAGCGGCCCGGACACGGGACACGGGACGCAGTGACCCACCACAGGACACAGCGGCCCAGACACGGGACACAGCGGCCGCAGGCCGGACAAGGGACAGCGGCGGCACGCCGGCCGCCTGCTGACAATGCCCGAGAGAGTCTCTCTCGGCGGCCGACTCTGAGCGCTCAGCGGTGCACCTGGAAAATCAATAGCCACACGCCTCACACGGCAGACAGACGCAGTACGGGCCTCTGAATCCGCGTGTCGGACCCGGCCCGACCCAGCCGCGACGCGCCCGTCCACTCTGAGTTCAGCCATGAGACCTAGCCGGTCAAAGTCCGTCGTGAAGGGCAAAAATTCTGCTCAAGCTCACGAATAGTCCCCCAGGAGCACAGAAGCATGCACGGTGTAGCGTTAACCTCTCCGATGTATTGGATTCACTTATCATTTCATTGATCTGACCGTCACCGAATATACATTCTTGGACGATACCGCGAAAACGAAATATTTCTATCGAGAGTTTTCAAAGGATTTCATGCACGAGGCCTTGGCCGAGTGCATGAAATTCTTTGAAAACTCGAGATAGAAATGTTTCGTCGCGGTAGAGTCCTAGATATTATTTCCTGTATGTTTCTTAATATCGTTCGTTATTTGCTTAAAAAGGCCGAAATATGCATAAATAAAATACAGTAACATTAAATGCACGTTAAATACTGAAATACTGGCAGTTCTAATTACTGAACAGTTCAGCAAAGCTTACAAGTTTTCTTTAAAACAGAAGCCCTCGATGAAATCAAGCTATCCAAGAAAACCATCCAAGAAAACGTCTCGCGCAAAGTTTCTTGGATGGCTGGATTGCATTGCAAGACTGCATCAAACATACAGGAATTTAGGTATGTGAGGACCGGCTGAAACGTCGGCTGCCGTGTGGTTTTGTGAACGTCCATCACTGATGTGAACGAACTGTGTACCTATTTATTTGTGCATTGTGTAGTGTGTTTAAGTGTATTTTTTTTTTCATTATCATTTTGCCATCGCTTCGCATGCTGTTCTTTTACCCACTTCACCGCCGTCTTTTTGTGGTTCAGTAATACCAAGAAAAGGCTGTTAGACTCCGACCATGACTCAAGCAGAAAACACTAAATAGCACCGATAAAGGATAAATAGTTTTTAAACCCGTATGGTCCACCTTGCAACAACACATGGTATCCAAAGACGCTCTGGTGACAGACGGAGTGCGTTTGTGGCGGAGACCGGAAGTCTGGACATGGGTCCCTCGGTGATCACTGATCGAACCACATCTTAGCTCAATCTTCCATGCGATTGGAACCAATACCAAAAGCCCATCCATCTTGAAGAGGCCATGGTGATGTGTGCCTTGCGACGAGGGCCACGTTGACATTATTCTCGGTCGACACAGGGCGGAGACATGTTATCAGTTCCAAGGGCTCCCGGCGGGCTCAGGGTTGCTGACGCCACTCAGCAGATCCAGGGCGGATCTCATGGTAACGCTGTAGTGTCGAGCCGGAGCCCAGCGGGCCAGAAGTGAGGAGTCTCCCCGGTGAAACGCAGGCTCAGACTCACTTCCGTCCCGTTCTATACAGCCAATGGTGGCTGCCGCAGCTGCAGCTGCCAGCCGGTCTGCACTCTGTTCGAAACAGCTGCCAGCTCTGTTCGGGGAGGCTGGGAGGGCTGCGGCCGACATTTCAGCCACCGATGCAGCCACCGCCGTCCACGGTGGCCATTCGACGAAACGGGACGCCGCTCCTGATAATTCTGAAAATGTAAACTTGGAAAGAATTATACAATATATCAGTATTTCGTGCTTTTAGCGTGTGCTGCTTTTTATTATTATGAAATTGAACATTTTCCTTTCCCTGAGAAAGGTATGTATAACAAGTTCAGTTAAATCACATCAATTCTGCAATTCTGTGGGGGAGAGTAGGTATCTAAAAGTCTCAGTCGCTATGAGGAGACTGTCACACGGTCCCGGTCGGGGCGGCGCAGCGCGCTGACTCTGACTCAGACTCCGGCAGCCGGCCGATCACACCGAGTCTGAGTGTTCAGCTGCGGCGGCTCCACCGACTCAGGCTTATCAGCACCTGCCACTGCACAGAGGGCCGCCGGCACTGCCACTGCACAGTGCACAGAGGGCCGGCACTGCCACTGCACAGAGGGCCGGCA